TTCACGTTAACTTCCATTTATGCTAATAGGAGTTAAGCACCTGCTTCGCAAAGAAAATAGACCCCTACCTGTGAAAATAAATGTGTACACTATATTTTCCAGATACAGTGCTGAAATCAAACAACCAAAAATGTGTGCTATATAAACAAAGCATCATGTGGCCTACCTGGAAACATTGCTGTTTTATATTTTAACCTCATCAGTCACAGGCCCCAAGATAGGACTCATGCCTTTGCCATTTAAATGCAACAAAAAGGAAAAAAGGGGTTGCGGCGGCAGGTTGGGTGGGTGGGGGAATGGACATACTCAATCTGGTGATTTCAGTGAGCTCATACACAATCCTCTGTTTACCCCTTCAGAAGTTCATAATAAATTGCATCAGTAAATCTGGATTCAGGCCACTGCTCTCTGCCATCATCTTAAAAGTTATGGAGGATAATTGTACATAATAGAGGAGGGCATGATCATTGGGGGGTGGGAGGGGGGGCTGTGCTGGGACTCCCTGCGGCAGCTGCAGCCTCAGCTGGGACAGGAGATGAAGCAGACGACCGTTAACGACCAAGGACACCAGAGTCCCTTTCTGCACTGTTCTCCTGGTTGAGCGCCAGGTCTCACAGGAAGCATGTCTACCTGGACTTGAGTGGGGACATCTCCACTGACAGTTACAGAAGTCTCTTACCAGGGAGTTCTTGCTGATGGTATGCCAACTGAGTGACAGAGAAAGGCTGTCCCTCCCCACTCCAGTTATAGCAAGTATCATAGGGATCTTTCCCAAAACTCTTACACCTTTGGTTAAACTTAAGGTGTGATCAAAGCAAGGGTATGGGGAGGTGAATGACAATATCCGGTACAGTTTCAGCTCTATTTCTATGGGCCTCACGATGTGTATAACCTGCAACCACTGCTATTCCCATTCAACATTTTTTTTGCCATACTTCCTTTTTTCCTCCCTCCCTCCCTTTCTCCCTTCCTCTCTTCCTTTTCTTTTAGAGCAAGAGGTGAGGAAAGGCAGAGGGAGAAGGGGAGAGAGAGAGAATCTTAAGCAGCCTCCATTGCCCAGCGTAGAGCCTGACAACCCTGATTGATCTCAAGACCCTGATCGATCTCATGACCCTGATCGATCTCATGACCCTGAGTTCATGACCTGAGCTGAAACCAAGAGTCTGGTGCTTAACAGATGGAGCCACCCAGGTGCCGCACACATTCAACATTTTCAGATGGTCTAAGACACAAATAGTAATAAGATCACACAACATGTACTACATAGGACCACATTTCTAAAGATTTCTCCTTTTTCCCAATGGTCTAGGTCAAGGCCATCATTTCTCATTTCTGATTTGCATCTTGAGTGGGATTAAGAGCAATACTCTTGTGGCAAAATTGGCTACATAATTCTGCAGGGCCCAGTGCAAAATGAAAATGTGGGGTGCCTTGCTGAAAAAGTTCTTACCAGCTGCAAGACAGTGACAGCCGAACAATAAAGGAAACTCAGGGCTCCTCTACTCCCCGGGCCTGTGAGATGGCACAGCTGACACAACCATGAAGCCAACCTCGCTGCTGGAATAGGACCCTGGGGAGACAAGAGCTTGCTGCCCCCTCCTGTCTCCTCAAATCAACCAGGGACAAATGAATGTGGGGTCTCCTCCCGCAGACAGATGCCTATTCAATGTACTGAGGTCTCAAAGAAAATGGATCAACAAAGTATATTCTAAAAACTACCATTTACTTTCTCGTACAGATTGTATTATAAGGCTTATTTAAAACTGTTCCATCTTCTTTCCTAGAGGGTTCCATAAAGCAAGATTTTCCATCCAAAGGCCAGCATGATCCTGGTGAGGGGTTCAGTTTTAATGGGGACCAGAGGACCAATTCTGAATACAGATAATGGTAGCACAGTCTCCTGGCAATTTGATCCTCAATACCACCTTTTTTCTCTTTCTCTGTATTTTCTCCTTTTTAAATCACTTCCTGCTCAAACCCCTTCCCTCTCGTCAGCCATGCACCAGCCTTAGATTTGACCTCAAATTCTAAATGGGGCCAGCTAGCTGTGAAGGCACTCTGTCTGGCTTTCTGCAGGTGATTTGGAAGGCTGAGGAGGCACTGTTCAGAGGGCGCCCTTCTCTTGTAAGTACAGCTATGCTCTGTCAGTTCTAGGCTGGCAAGTGAAACAGCAGTAATTACAATAATGGCGGCACTTGCCCAAGAAGTGAGCTACCATCTCTCAGAAGTAGGCATCTGCTCAGCAATGCTTCCCGTTATGTACATGGAGACTACAGAGTTGGCTTTGAGAGATTTAGAATAGGTTATACAGAGGAGCAAAGACAAAAGATCCTCTCCCTTTCACCTTTCCCCAGAAATAAATAGCTAAATTTGTAAATACCTCACAAAAGTACGTAGGGGGAAAAAACCAACTATAGTTAAGATAAAATTATCTTAAGTCTGAGTTCTTCTGAGCCATAGATGGCTTTGTTTATGACGAAACCATACAGAAAGAACTGTTAAATGAAAAAACAAACAAACAAACAAACAGAACCAACAACAAAAACTGTTAAATGTATAAGCCTATCCTGATTTTTTGGCCATTCAGGGAAGGGATAGAAGATTATATAATATTACCTACTCTCAATAAAATAATTATCCTTTTTCTTCCGGGTAGTGGATTTGTAGGGATAAACAACCCTACAAATTGTTTGGCCTATTATGTGGCACAGAGATTTTTCTATAGCCTGTCTAGACTCCAGACAATAGACAAGACTGGCCTATAGCTACAGACATTTCTATAGTCTGTAATATCACTTAGAAAAGTAAGAGCAATAATACAAAACTGAAAACCAGGCTGACCTGCTACTACAATAGTAGAAATACGAGTATAACAACACTTTACAATTTAGGAACGATGATAGCAACCCAGAGAGAAGTTTTAGCAGCCACGTATCAGCCAAAGCAACTTATATATCCTTCTAAAATATGAGTCATATTCAAGTAATTCTGCCCTCAGGCTATAAAATCACTTTATTACAGAAATTCTGCATCTATGTCATATCCTGTTTTCTCATATGTTGTAACTTATATGTTACATATAGACTATATACATAATACCTGTGGTCAACAGATAGGCTTTCAAAGGGCCTTTCTTGAAACAAACCAGATTGTTAAACTATTCTACTTCTCATCCCTCTTGGACAAAACAGTGAATGCTGCATATGACCTTAAGAGAGTTAAGGGACATTATGTATAATACGAAAGGGAGGTGGAGAAAAGAGTTTAAATTTCATCTATTTTCTGCCATTTCATTTCTGAGTGTGTCTCCACATCTGTTTCTCTCCCACAATTACACTTGTTCTAAACAAAAGAGAAAGAAAAAAGAAAACTTGGGTTTTTTTTTTTTTTAATATTCCTCTTCACTAGCTTTCTAATGTTTTCGTAAATGAACTGATGAAGAGTATTTGTTGTTGCTTAGGTTTATTTTGATGGAGACGATGAAAAAGGTGCATTGACTATAAAGAATAATCATTGAAGAAAATGTTGCCTATCACTGAAGAGAATATTACACTTTCCCACGTAGTAGAAATAAACAGGCAATACTCTCGATGCAGAGGGTATCCTCTTGCCCAAAGACTCCAAACTACGTCAACAGTCACAAGACCATTTGCATCTTTGCCACTGGGGATGAATATTAACCGGGTCTGTTGCTGTCGGGATGACGCAGCTTGTAGCATCAGGAGTCATCAAGGGGTTGTCTCATGAACTAGACAACATGCAGGAAAATGCAGAGATTTTTCTATATTTTACTTAGGGCTGCACCTCCCCAAATGCAAACCTCCCATCTCTAAAGTCCTTCAGTTTCTCTTTCTGGCTGAATTCAGAGCAGCAACAACAACAATACCTCCTATTCAACACAATTAGCTCCACCGTACAGCAGTATACAACGTATCATCAAAGGTTCCAGTGTAGAACCAACCATCTGGGACGGCACAGTTACAGATCGCCGACCGAGGAGACCATGCAGAGCCCTTCTCCATGCGATCAGCTAAGCCCCTCCACCAGGCGGGCACAGAGTACTGCCTACGTCTAGGGTGTTCAACATACAAATGTGGTATATTCTCCCCCCTGGAATGCAAATTCTAGATTCATATTACGCCAGAACAGCATTACACAATGCTCGTGTTTTGTTTTGCTTGAAAGTTCAATATTTTCTTTGTCTTTAAGGAAAAAAAAATTCTTTAACCTCATTGCAGATGAAGGTTTTTGTCAACACTTTCCCCCGTAGTAAAAATAAACAGATATGTCTGAGTACAATTAATTGGTAATGTAATATTAAAAGCAGTATAAAAATTTAAAGAGATTTATCTGAAATAAAAACTACAGATTTTTTTCCCCCTTTGATAGGTGCCACGATCTTTAGGAATACTTCATCTATGTAATAAGATATACCAGAGCTATATATTCCATATAATAACTTTGAATATCATAAAAATGGTACCAAATTCTGGTTCTCCTCAGCCACTTCAGTACACAGGTGGTGGAAGCCAGCCATAGCCTTAGCCTCTTTAATTGGCTACATGTTAACGGAAGAGTGACGGTATACATTTTAACCCAACATCATGAAAACCTCTGTTTGTTTAACAAGTTCAGAATCCAATGCTAGCCTGATGAGTGTGACAAATTCATTTCATTCTCATGAAATTATTAGGAAGTGCCATGCCTCCTCACAAGATAGCTGGCAATTCGACAGCCCTCTGAAAGAGCCTGAATCATTAACTAAAGTGTCCTGTGTGTGGAGACAGAAGACCAAATTAGGCCCTAAGGAAGTCTTACCAAACTCCCACTGAAGTCAACGGCGATTTGCAAACACACTAAAGCGGGCTTTCATGGCCCACAGGTCCCGTCAGTAATTTCACTAGGTCTTTAAGCTAGACACACAGGAGAAAAACAAAAACCCAAAAACACACACATGCACAACCCAAACACCCAAACCCACAAAGGAAAAATACGTGTACCTCTCCAACGTCGTAGATCCAAATACGGCCTTCTGAGTCTCCAACAGCAACTTCTTTGCCACCTTGAGCCCAGCGCACCCGGTTCAGGGCGGAAGCCCCCTCAATGGCCACACTTGCTGTTGGAACCTGCCAACAGCAACAAAGAATCTGAGTGAGAATTTAGATGTACAAGTTTACAATGATACGTTTAACTGGGTGAGTCACCGCTGCCTTCATGTGCGTGAAGTAATATGCATCCCTTGCACAGGGGTAAAAAAGGATTCATTGTTCTTAAATCATATGCTCCACTGAATGAAGGGGTAGAGAGGAGACACTTTAACAAAAAAAAAAAAAAAAAAAAGGAAAGAAAGAAAGAAAGAAAGAAAGGAAGGAAGGAAGGAAGGAAAAGAAAAGCAAAGCAGGAGAGTCTTTTCCACAGTCAATGGGCAGTGAGTGACAAATATTTCTCCGGATTACGCAGGGTGTACATCCAACATACAAACACAGCAGCTAAATACTATACTTCTTGATCAGGTCATGATTTATGGATCGATGGAGAGAGAGATTTCAGGATTTACCAAGATTAAAGATACTGTAAAAGGCAGAAAGGGGGGCTTACGGTGGAACCAAGTTCATATTAATGTGTGTCTTCAGGGAAAAAAATCTGTATTGATCCCTCAAAACCTCATCGGGGAGGGGATGATCAGAAGAAGAAGAAAAAATGCCGGTGGCAGAACTTCAAAAGCTTGAATTTTCCTCTTTCTTTTTTCTTTTCTTTTCTTTTTCCAGTTTTCCTCCTTTCCCGTCAGTACCAGGGTAGACCAAGCACTCAAGAACTTTGGAAATGCCCCCGAGGGGATATCCTGAGAGACTGCAACATCTTTTTGTAGAAGAAATCTCCCATCTCCTCCAGTCAACACTGAAGTCTGCCAATGTGGGCAATCACTAGCACACTTTTTATTAAAAGGACCCAGAGGTGCTTAAATGGAACCTGCAGAATTGGATACAAGAACCCTTGTTATTGGAGAAAGATGTTCGTGGGTCTCCCCCTCTTCTATCAACAGTTGTGTAAACTCCGGTCTTGAAGTTTATATATCTGAGGTTTATAACTGATAGATCAGATCTCTGAGCCTTCTACAAAAATGTTGACTCGGAAGTGACAACAGGCCGTTAAAAAAGGAAAGTGTAAATCTTGAAACCAAAAGAAAAAAGATACAATGAGAAAAGTACCCTTGAGATCATCTCACACCACTGCTGAAGCCCTGGGTCTACTACACAGGTCGTTTTGGGGTGGAGACCGTGGCTTCGTTCTCTCTCGGCATTCCGTGAGTCGGGGAATTGAAACCATCTGTTTACGGGAGGTTATTGACCCAATACCTATCTTTAAAATAGCAATAAAAACTCCATCATATGTAAGAATCTATGTTTAAACTTAATCTCGAAATCAATAAAAATTCTTTTACCTGCTTAAATCACTGTGTGTCAGTTGTGAGCAAAAATGTAAAACAAAGTGCCCAACTCATTTTTTTTTTTTTTAAATACACAATTTCAACAATGAAGGTACCTGCTGTGCAGGCTGGAGCTTGAATTTTTAACCAAACCTTTCAAAGGCCAAAACAATGTGAATTTAGATGGGCCATAATTCTGTCAATATGCTTTATTATTAGGGTACTCCTCAGAAAACAAATCAGAGATTCAGCTCTACAGTTTTCAGACTTTTTAACACCATCACTTAGGGAGACTGTGCAGGATCACACTTTACCTAACTCTGTTCGATATCAGATTTTATCAATGAATAATCTCAAAGATTGAATAAAAATGTTGAATCTTAATAGGAATATGTTAAAAAGCTAATCACTCAAAACAACCTGACTTCTGATACACTTTAAATTGTGCCTAATGCACGTTAAAGAATTTTATTTATTGAGAAGTCGTATAGCTAACCAGGACAATTAATATTTTAACCTTTTAAAAATATCTTTTCAAACATAAATGATAAAAAAATGACTATCACAGGCTATATAATAAGTGGTAAAAATTATCAAATGCTAAAGGAAATGATAAAATATATTTTATTAGTTTGACCCATAATGACCTTTAAAAGTTGGTGAATCTTTAGTGAAAAGAATCCATCTATTGAATCTAACTTCTGTACTTTGGTTTCTCAGTTATTTTCACACTTTTTTAAGGCTCAGTCATTTTAATTGCAAAGACAAGGATATATACAGCATCAAGTACAGCATAGTGTGGAGGTCAGTGACCTTGCGGTAGGTGAATATGAATTCTCCTGGCATAGGAGCAATTGGGATGATGTGGTCGAAAGGTACAGTAATTTCAACAACAGCGAGTCACACTGGGAATTCAGATTCTCTCTCTTTGTTTTTTACATGAATCTAAATCCTAATCTGACAACTGTTTGAGAAATCTTTTTTAACTTGATCGAAGGCAAAAATGATCTGAGAGTTAAAAAAAAATGTTCAGTTCATTACTGGATTTGAATCAGATTCGATATATTGACTATTAATTCTGAAAGCAGAATTATGTTTTCATAAGCAGTTTGCATGCCCTGTAATGATTTTTAAAAAAAGTTTAACTATAAAACTCTTAATGTGGTTGTGTCTTGACACCTAGAGCAAGAGAGGAGAAAAATTACATTTGGCAATGTTGACACATTGATTTCATTTTGCCTAAAAAGTAGGCTAAAAACGAAGCCATACTATTTACATAGGAATTATGAAGGAGTGTGTAGAACACTCAGACCACAGCATCCCAGTGGGGTATCACCGAAACATCACTTCTACCAGATCTCATTTCTGATACGGGGGGAGGCAGTGTCCCCTAAGCCTACCTGGAAAACATGTGTTTTTTGGTTGCTTTAAGTCAATGAGTTTATTCCAGCAGGTAGAAGCAATATGATTTTAATCAACAGTGATGAAAGACTTTGGGAAACCATCACAATGTTGAATAATATTGCATCTTTCTATGAAAAGCAATAATGTTATGAACATTCAACATCCAAAATGATGAGCAGTGCACGTATTTATGCCTTTTGATCATTTTCAAAGATGCTTCACTACCTAACTCTTGCCTTTGTCACATAGTTCTTGTAGCCAAAAGAAAACACAGACTTAAACTGAAATATTTTCAAAAGATAACTATTTGGCAGTGGTCATGGGTGTATATAATTTTGCGAGATACAATGGCTCAATAATGACACCTGAGGGATATTTCCCTGTCTGCTCCCACAAAAAATACTAGGGGAGCCGCCTCCTCCTCATATCCTCCAGCTGTAGGCTTCCTAATTAAAAAGGCTGAGTTGCTTCCTGCTCAAAACACTTCAAAAGACCTTTCTCTTGCTCCCCTTACCTGTCCCTTCTTATTTATGGAGAGCCGCCCTGAATCAGAAACCAGGAAGAGATGAAGAGACCATTTTATTTTATTAAATTGAAGGACATTTAATATTCATGTTAAAAAAAAAAAAAGATACCACAAAAAGCCCCAAGTAGCTGAATTAGCACCTCAGTAATTTTAAGGGTTTGAGAAAAAGGGAAAATGCACATAGCATAATTTTTTAAAACATAGATACATATATAGCATAATTTTTTAAATGAGTATTTCCTTATTGTTAATTCCCTTTTTTAAAAAAATGGGGCCATTTTTCACTTGTGAAGTACTCTAAATGTGACATGTTGAAAGCCTACCTTTTTTTTTTTTTTTAAAACACCGAGTTTACCTGACCTGTTCAGAGTTACAAACTACTGTGAAAGTCCGCCTGTAAGTTCAATATTTTAGGCAAGGATTATTTACCTTGTAAAAATCAAGTGGAGGGTAGACTAAACGTAGCCAACAGAATCATCTTTTATGGATTTAAAGTAGAAAGTGTGCGAATGGTAAACACTGACAACCCTTTTTAAAAACTCAATCTCAAGTCAGGGTCCACAAAAGCTGACTTTTCCAAGTGCCTGCCAGTAGGGTTATTTCAGCACCGCTCAGACATGTGCCTGTGTGTCCTTTCCCCCAGGGAAAGGCAGGAACGCACATCATTTTGCTCTTTGCAAAGGGTCGTCAATTGTCCAGGATCTGCCTGGGGTTGGGGATGGAGTGAGATGAAATGATTTTTGGCGGGTGCATCTGCCAATTCCCTTCAGAGCAGTCGAGAGTGGGGGTCGGCAGCCCAGCTGCCATTGGAGGGTCATCCAAAACAAGGCCGCGCAGGACAGAGAGGGAGAGACGGAGAGAGGCCGGCTGCGCCCTCCTCCCAGCCCTCCCGCCCGGGCGCCTGCGCCGCCGCTCACCTCGGTGTCATTGTTGAGGTTCCAGAGGTCCAGGCGCCCCATTCCGTCCACGCAGGCAAAGAGCGCGGGATGCACGGGGGACCACATGACATCGTACACATAGTCTGCATTGTCTTCAAAGGAGTAGAGCGGCTTGTTGTGCTGTAAAGGAAAGAGACCGTGAAGACTCGGTGGCGCTGCCGCCGCCTCGGGCTGTCTAGCGAGCCTAATTAAAAACTTTGCACATTCACCAAGTGTCATAAAACTGCCCGAGATGAAAGTCCTCGAAAAGGTGAACCGCAGCTTTAATGTGACTAGAACTGTCCAGTGGCATAAATAAATACTGGGGGCCGGGGGGGGGGGGGGGGGGGGGGGGGGGGGGGGGGGGGGGGGGGGGGGAGGCGGGGTCTCTTAAGGGGCTGGGGCTCCGGACCTGCGGGGGAGGCGGTCTCAGACACAGGCGGGCGAGCCATTCCGTGCAGGTGGACGCGGCTGCCCATTAGCTCGGGATTCTCGCCAGGTCACGCTCTGCGAGTCGCGCGGTGCCCGGACCCCACCGCCGTCCGCCTGCGAGGCTCAGACCCGCGGGAACGCTCTGGAAGCCCAGGCAGGCCCGGGCCGCCCAGGACCTTCCGCACGGAAGGCAACGCCTGCCACCTCGTGGTCTTTTTCTGGAACTGCAAGTCGGCTCCCAGGCCTACCCGGGGCTAGATTCATACTTGAATGGTTCCTTTGCGGCGGGAAGGGGAACACATGTTTTGAGGGGATTTGTAGCTCTTCTGGGAGGTTAAAAATCTCGGGGTTCTAAGACCCTAGTTTCTCCGTGAACTCAGGTGGACTGGTGTGGCTCAACCGAGAAACCCCTGAACCTTTACCGAAGATGAACCACATTTTCTAGATTACCCAGTATTTCCAGCAGCCCTGAAATTGGTGTTTGGGGGGAATGCATTAGCACACCCCCACTGCATACAAATGCTTCCACTCCAGGGGGATACAATAAATTAAAATGGCACTCTTGATTTCCAGTGAATATTGTCACATCAAAATAGCACAGAAGTCAGAGGCAAGTTTGAAAGTACACCAGAAATAAAATGTAATTGGACTTCATGAATTATTCATTCCATCTGGCTTGTCTTATTCTAATTTCTGCATAATGGCTTTACTAATCCCTGATCAATTAATGTAAAATGAAATTTAAATGATAATGAAAGCCCTAGAGATAAAAGAAATTAAGTATTCTTATATCCTCTGACAGAAATCTAAACAATGGGAGTTTTTTTTTCCACAATGTCTTCTTCATCCAGTCAGCTGTCTGTATTCTCTTCGTGGGTTCGACTAAATGCCTGTGCAGGCCAGAGTAATAAGATAAAAAAATATAACACAGAATATGAACAGTTAAATCCTTCATGCATGGAATGTGCAAAGTATGTATCTGTAGGTAACAGATCCAAATATTAGAGCAGAACTCCCAAAGTGTACTGCTAGCAAAGGTAAAATGCACAGAATGGACGTGCTGAAATCGAAGTGAGAAAAGTCAGTGAGAGGACAAAAACCTAGAGCAAAGATTTGTGAAGGGAGTATTCTCTTGCTTTGACGTTGCTCCAAAAAGAACACAATTGTGATACTAGTAAAGCCACACAGATTTGAGATGGGCCCCTGCGCACAAGGGAGGGTAGGTAGCAGATGCAGGAGATGTGTTTTATTTGCAAAAAATATCTAATGGGGGAGTAATTTGAGAAAGGACATATGGTATTGGGACCTCAAAAAAGAATTCAGTGGACATTAGCCTTATAGTTTTTTATTTTAATATTCTATAACTCTTTTATGCCAGGATGTTTGTTATAAACCATGCCTTCAGTGTGGTTTCGAGGTAAAATTATTTGCCCCATTGCTATTTATGGAGCATTTCTCTCATGCTTTGGACTCAGTGATTCAAAGTACCTTGTCTGGAGAATCTGAATATCCAGTGAAACCCTAAAGTGGCAACGATTGTGTCATTATTCCTTACTGGGATGGAGTAGCTGGTCCTTCACTGGCCACTTGTGAATATTAAATTGTAACTCTTGAGTAAAAGACTATTTCTCCCCCCCAAATACTTGATTTTATAGCTGGCTAGTCACTATTTGTTAAAGGACATGAGTGACACATTTTTCTTCAAGTCAAAGGGTGGAAAACACATGCTCTAAAAAGTTGGTTCTCTCACTCTCCTCTCTCAGTAACCCAGCTGACAGTAAGAAAAAAGCATATGGAGGTCTAGATGGAGACCCACACACATCCAGACGTATAGGAGACATGTACCCTATTATCCACAGTTTTGATCAATCATAAAACCACCCAACCTTAAACATTTACTAGGATGCTGATACTATTTGATACATTAATTCTCCCAAGAAATTATCCTGTTAATCTCTACTTTGCTTCTTTCTTTCTTTCTTTTTTTTTTCTTTTAGCTGCTGTTTCTGTGAGGAACTTGGTCAAAATTATCATATATACTGGAGACTTCATTTTTTCAACATCTGGAAATAACAGCCATTGTTCATGTTACCAAAATCCAATTTTCTCGTTTAGCAGGATTGTGTTGAAATGTTATTACTGTCTAGGTTTCCCTCCAACTTCCTCATCATCCCCAATCTTCCAGATTGAACCTCCCATTGTAAAAATCACTAGTACGTTTTTCTGGGTTATAGTATGTACATGTTTAGGGGAAGAAAGAAGGGCTTATGTTTTCAAAGGCTTTGTTTTAACCTTGATAAATTCATAGGCTGGGAAAGTCTTGGTCAGGACTGAACCCACTGTCAGAATACCAAGTGGACTGACAGCGAGGAACCACTAGTTTCCAAGTATTAACATTATAAGCTCTAGGCATAAGCTAGTGCCCCTCTTCCATCCTTAAGCCATACTATTTTGAACAGTAATTGTACTTTTTTTTTTTTGAGAAAAGAATTCTTCATTCTTTTTTATTTGGGGCTCAAAGGTTAATCTGAAAACCCCATTAAAAATATGGCAGTGGGGATGAAGGAGGGCACTTGTGACGATCACTGGCCGATGTGTGGCGGAGCCGGATCCCGGGGCTGTACGCCTGAAACTTACAGAGCACTATAGGGGAACCAGCTGGAAGGAAAAGAAAAACTTTAAAACGTTTAGCCTCAAATGTTTACTATAAAACAGTTTCCAGTAGATAAATATATCACGAAATATTAATATCCTCATAAAATATGTCAAAAGCATCAGGGTCTGAAGATTCCATTTTTGAAGTTCGAAACCGAAGTGTTTGGATCCCCGGTGTTGTTCTAGCTGGCTAGAGCATACCTGCTCATTTTAGAATAGCACAAGTTTTGAGAAGATGCAGAGGGTGGGGGCAGATTCGACTGATGATTCTTGAGGAGGCTCCTGTCATATCATTTGTGTCTCCTAAAGCTACAGAAGCTGAGTGACTTAAATATTCACTCTGCAAAGTACTCAAGGCCATTTCATAAACTCAGTAACTCAGCATGTTACTGCAGCAAGAGTCTTTCAAACCATCGGATTTCAGGAGACACAAGCCTCTTGGCCCGCGACGCTTCCTTTCCTAGTGGCGCGCTGGGAAGGGGCCCGCTGCTTGAGAAGAAAGACGAGGAGAAGTGCATGACCACCCACGTACTGCATGTGGGACACGTGCCAATGAGACAAAGCCACGACACCCAGTGCTTTTGACAAGTTTCCCAGGCCGTGCCCCAAAACCCCAAAATATCCAGATGCAGCTTGCCTTGACCTGAGTGCCCTGATTCTCAAACAGCACAGAGACGCGGCGACCAGTCACCTCCCAGCCAGACGCGAAGGGCAGGAAGGGGGAATTGTTGAGCCTTTGCTGTGCCTGACTCTACACACACGTTGTCTAATTTAATCCGCATAAAATCACGGTAAGGTAGACAGTATTTACAGGAAAGAAAATTATAGTTCAGGAAACTTAGGTAGCTTTCCCGAGGCCACGGGCGTTGATAAGTGGTGGAGCTGGATTTGGTTCTATGCGTTTCCTAGCTGTTAAGTACAATCTTCTGTTTGATGGACCCACGCGGTCCTCTATGAAACACAGAAATGGTCTTTGGTCTTAACAGCAAACACAACAACTCTGTTACCTGTTGTTTCATTCAATCAACTGATATTCGCTAAGCATGCACTGTGTTGTGTAGCTTGTAGGAAGGAGTAAAAAATATCACAGAATGTTTATTTCGTTTCCTGAATTGATCATTAACCATCCTGAAGACGTTACGCATATGATTCCAGGCATCTTTAGCCGCTGATGACACTCACAGAGATCTTTCTCTCCAAAAGAAAAGAAAAGGACTGGGATGGGAATGGCCCTTTAGTCGGCAGGGTTTATCAGCAGGCCACGAATTAGAGAGTTTCATAAAGTGATGCTAGGAGGCCGAGATCTGGTTTCTAGTTCACCGAATGTCTACATAGCTTTGAAGGAGGCTGCAGTGACATGAGATGACAGAAGAAGGAACACATGACGCACGGGCCAGGAAAGGCAACAGGAGAAAGCAGACACAGACTATGGATGGTGGTAAATTCAACCTAACATCATGGACTTTAGTTTTTTCATCTATAAGATGGAAGGTGGGAGAAACTGGCTTCGAAGAGTTCCCACCGGCTTTCCAGGACTCTGCTCTGGGATAAAGATCGAATGGAATAAAGTTTGTGAAAGTTTTTTTGTTTTGTTTTGTTTTGTTTTTACAAAGAGTTGTTCAAAAATAAGAGTTATAATTAGAGCCATCTTCCTTGAGGTTCTGCGAAATTTAGAGCAGTGACTTTAAAACATTTTACTTCATAAAAATATACATCTAAAAACATACCAGGATGGCTTTTGGTGAGAAACTGAAAATCATGTAAGGAATGACAGACCTCTTATTTGAACAACTAAAGAAGGGATAAAGGATATTAAATTTGCATGAAAGAAGCAGGTAGTGAACTCTGTTCCAAAGTGAAACTGTATAACATCCATTGGCGTTTTACAATAAAGGTGTGATCTCTTGATTTGAGCTTCGATTTTATAAATATATTTCTGACAATGACTAGAACTACATATTTTTCCGATCAGTTAACTATGAAGCGATTTCATGAAAGATGAACTTCTATTTCTGATGTCAGATATATATCAAAGCCACATTTAGGAAACATGA